TGGTCTAAACGGCACTCTTAGAACGTATACCAACTTTCCTGGAAAAGGAATTTGAGCAGCCGTGGTCTCCGTCGAGACTCGTCTGCTGTACATTTACGCTTGTATCATAATTTTTTGGCGCGTTTTTTGGCCGATCATGAATCACAATACATGTCACGCCCTTTAATTAGTGCCCCTTTGTTTGTGATGACATACTTTGCACATGTAATGTGCCACTCACAGCGGTGTCAGGAGGCTGTTTGTATTTGCCTTGGGAGAAAGTTCTGAAGCGCCCAACCAATCAGTCACTGCCTCACGTCTGTTTAAACTCCGACGGTGAATTATTAGCTACTAAATTAAGGACCCTTTATATTCCTGATAATTGAGGGTGTTGTAAATGCTGGGCTGTTCAAAAGTGCACCTTCACTTGTGTAAAGTGGCTGTGTATAATTACCTGCTCAGCCCCGGCAGAAATGTGCGAGGAGCTTTTTCTCCTCTGTTTATGCCATGTGGCGAGATGTGTCTCCAAATGTCAGGCCGCGTTTTTGATTTACGGCCCCGCGTCTTTTCTGTGGTGTCAGCGATTCTGTGCATGTTCAGCACGGGATCCCTGTAGCTGCTGCTGCTGCTGCTGCTGCTGCCTGTAGCCTCCGACACACACAGACAAACACACACACACACACACACACGGGGTTAGTCATTCTCGGCCCACTACACCAACATATTTCTTCCCTTCCCTTTCCCTTTCCCTCCAGGTTCCAGGGGAGTTTGAAGGAAATTCAATGATGCCGCTAAATCAATTTTATTTGAAATTCCTAGGGATGTAGGCAGAGAGCAGCCGGGGAAGTGAGGGTTTTTTTTTTTTTTGCCAGGCAGGTGTTTGTAAATGAGAAACAGGGGACAGGAGCGGAGGAGACGCAGCATTCTCCTGTTCTCCTGTGGCCTTGGCTGCACTACAAGCCTCCAGTCTCCCCCATATTGTCTCCTGCTTTATTAATTACAACTTGTATTATCAGCCGCCAGTTGCCAACCCCAGCCAACAGAAAAAAGGCCGTCCCTGGAGACCGCCATTCTTTTGTATCTTTTCTCTATCCTCTCCTATTGTGTGTGTGTGTGTGTGTGTGTGTGTGTCCCAGCCTGCATTTATTTGAGATTTCTTCTCCCTCCTCCTCCTCCTCCTCCTCCTCCTCCTCCTCCTGGTTACACTGCTCTTTAACACAATTAGTGAGGAGCGTGGAGTGAACCATGTTTGACTCCTAATTATGCCCAGCATTAAGGAACAGTCACACGGACCAGAGGCCATTTTTGTGTCTCTTTTGATTCCTCCTCTTCCTCCTCTTCCGCCGCCGCTGTGTTTCACGCAGCACTTCTCATGTAGGTTAAAGAAGACGGCTGCGGTGACACGGTTTTCCCCTTCCCCGACTTGTTTGAACTTTATCAGACCCGGGGGGATCACGACAAAATGGTTGTGTTGTGTTTGTGTTGTGCACTGCGGTGTCTGATGATGCAGCCTCCATATAGCTCAGAGACGCTCGCTAAATTATTCATGCGCAGGAAGGGGCTGTTGCTTTTGTCGCCTCCACGAGCCCAGAAAGTTAACACTGTTGTTTTTGATATTTGTTGTGCGCCGCAGACAGGTTTATGAATGAGAGAGGTGAGCTGCAGGTAAGAGAAGTGAGGAGGGGTAGGGGGAAAAAACCCACTTTGTGCTTCATTAAAATTATTTATTGTGTGCTGTGGTGTTACACACTGCTTTAATATCAGGTGGTTTAAAGTGCTGCGCTCTGCTTTTTGCCCTATAAGAACCAAACTAACAAAGCTTTATCCATATCCCTGGATACCGGCCCATTAAACCCACAAGGTAGCAAATCATAGCAAAATATCATTCCCTTTAACACCATTAGCTGGGCTGTCTTTGAATTTAATTTAGTGGCAGCACCATTAAAAATGACACATTACTCTGCAATGATAGCTAAATTAAGTCCTATCGATTCTGCCGTTGCATTAAAACCACGCTGTGGCCGAGGCCGACGAGTGTTTGGAGAAAGAAAGGAAGAAAGAGAGAGGGGAGCGAGGGAGAGGGAGTGTGTGAGCGTAGCCAGCAGAGTTTTTCAGCTCTGTCTCACCGCGTTCTGGCAGTGGGTGTCTCACTGTGAGGAAGTAGAACCCAGTCATTTTCTGCTCCTGGAACAACAACAGCCTGCTCGCTGCACTCAGAGCTGCTCTGCTGCTTCGGTGCATTATACATTCAGGGAGTCTGGGAGTTTTACCTCTCGTCGTCCACATGAGAAGGAGGAGAATTCAGGGAGTCTGGGAGTTTTACCTCTCTGTCGTCCACATGAGAAGGAGGAGAAGGAGTGAGAACACAGTTCTAGAAAAGTTGGTTTACGCTGTAAAACTCACGTCAGTGATTTGATCAACAACTTGAGGTTGTATTTTGAGCTCATTTCTTTAGGCCCAACGTAACTATTTATGACAAAGCTACAGGAGAGACGTCAGGACAGGAGTGACTTTATCACCAGGTCACATCCTCCTCTCTGATCCTTAACCTTTTAAATATTATATATATAAAAAAAAAAAGCTTTTCATAGCCCATCAGACATTATCAGTAGAGCCCAGATCTGGACGGCAGGCAGTTTCCACTTTAGTCTTTTGCACAAAATTGATAAATATCTTCTGTTGTCTGCATCATATTTCTTAGTAGTACTGAGACTATATAGCAGTTTCCATCAGGAGGGTATGTAATATTGTAGTACATCACAGGGGTTCAGAGGTCATATCATGAGATAGTCCTGACTTTATTATTTTTTTAAAAATCTTTATATGAGATAGTCCTGACTTTATTATTTTTAAAAAAATCTTTTTTTTAATTAACAGTTTTTTCATTACATTCGAAACAAAACCAACCTTATAAAGTCAGGCCGTGGTAGAACTAAATTCAAATTAATTCTAATTGAAAAGACGTTAAATCTTTTGTCTTCCTTTTACGTTCAACAACACTTCTCACTTGTTTGTGTGTCTTTCTCAGCTTATACTCAGACTTCCGTGTTAATGTGGTCAGTAAATAAAAACAGATGTCATCGTTTGATTAGAGGACGCTTTGCTGAGCCTAAACCCATGCACAGGCTGTTGTTCTGCCTGTCTCTTCAACCCTCTTCATTGTGATTCTTCAAGCTCTTTATCCGATTGCCATCCGGCAAACAGCTGACGCTGAGTGGGCCTGGAGTGGAGCGCAGGGTCTGAAGGGCCTTGTGTGTTTCTGTCTGCTGCATTCTCCCCCGAGCTGTTTAAGAAAACAACCCTCCTTCCCCAAAAAACTTAGCAGATAAAAGGGCCTCGCTCACGGGCATAAAGCAGTTGAAGAAGAAGCAGCAGCAGCAGCAGCAGCAGCAGTAGTAGTGGTCTTCTCGCCGTTGCAGCAGCAGCAGATCAGGATCGCTCACCCAGGGGAGCTTCAGCAGCTGCTGGTCTCGTAGCCTCTGTATCCTCGCAAACTTCCACTAGTCTCCAGGCCCTGTCCTGTCTGTCCTCCTCCAGAACAACTCACTCTGAGCCGGAGCAGACGGACAGCCTCCTCTCAGACAGGAAGCAAAGGAACAGAAGTTCCTCAGAAAGGCTGCAGAACTTAGACGAAATGGTAACAGAAAAAAGCGTCTCTCTTTCTTGGAATATTCTTCTGCCTGTACATATTTCGTCTTTCTTATGTATATATCTGTGTTTGTGTTTAAATGGGGGAGGAAAAAAAAAAAAAAAAAACCATAGCGGGAACTGAGAAGTGGGTTGAGGTTTGTGGGAAGCCCTGGTGCAGGCCTGTATTTGTTTGGATTGGGCTCGGCTCACGGAGCCTGCTGCACTTGGGCCCCAGACGACGTTTGGAGTCTGACGTTGGCCAACATTTTGTCATCATGTTCAGGTGACATGCTATATTTGGAAGGACAAGTTTGGAGTGGCTGTTTGAGGTGTGTATTCGGGGTGTGTGTGTGTAGAGAACGATGTCTCTCTCTTTCTCGCTCTCTCTCTGTGGCCTGGATGGCAGAGGAAATTCCACCTCCAGGCTGACTTCATGTGGCACTGATAAAGCCTTTCCTGTACAGTAGAAAATCCTGTTTCCCTGTGTGCACTGAGAGGGCAGTGGGAAGGGCCAGGGCCAGGAAAAAGGGTAGAATTGGAAAAAAGAAAAGCGAAGTCTGAGAAAGAAAATCCTTAAAAGCTATGGATTTGTTTATGACCATTTCTTTAAAGGCATTCGGCTGAGATTTGACACCCTGTTTCAGGCCTGTGTTTGTGTAGTTAAAAGTGAGTGAGCGAGCAAGTGTGTGTGTTTACACTCCTTGCTCTATTATGTCATTAGCATGTGTGCATAAGTGTGTTTCTCCAGGCCTTTGCGGACGTATGTGTGTGTGTGTGTGTGTGTACGACACCAAGGGTGTGTTCACATATTTGGCAGTTGGAGAAGGACAATCACTGTCATATCTTATTTTCATTTCTGACACTGGTAATGATTAATGGGCACTGTCGTGTGTTTGGACTTTTTACCTCTACATTTCTCACTTGACGCGGAAGTCTCAATTGGTTACGCTATAAACAAACTCCAGTGTGGGCTTTGAAGGGTCCCTCGGAAAGTCTGGAACTCTCCGGATGAATGGCCGCATTCAGGCCTTTGGCTCCAGTGCGTTAATGAAACACATTGATTGGATATATTGACTGATTATTGCCAGCAGTTCAAATGTGTTTGTGTCTTTGATCGTAGTTGAGTATTGTTGAGCGTCAACAGTCCAAGGACCCTCTCAGTGCCTTGAGACTCGTACTCAAACTAATGTCATGCTCATGTTTCCAACTTACTTATATGGCCTCTCTCTCTCTCTCTCTCTCTCTCTCTCTTTTCTGTGTCTCTCTTCCTCACCCCCCCGCTCCTTTTTCTGTGCTCCTGGTTTGCGGTTTGGACGGGGAATGTGGATGGATGGATGCACGACTGGATGGATGGATCCCACGCTCGCTTTCTCTCTCTCTTCAAACCTCAGAACCCAGCTTCCTGGAGAGACCACGATGACGCCACCTCCACACACTCGGCCGGCACACCGGGGCCCTCCAGTGGGGGGCACGCTTCACAGAGCGGCGACAACAGCAGCGAACCTGGTAGGCCTGCACAGAAATGGACACGTGCACACCATGCACCTTCACATAATGGTACACAGATAAGGGCACAGATCCATGCAGGTCTCATTAATCATCATGCGTGAGTGGAGTTGCCAGCACTTCAATTTAAACCAGTTTAACGTGAGATCTTCCATGAATGGATGGCACATCTTTTCATATGCTGACATCCCAGAGTCGTTCTCTCTTCCACGTGGGATTATCCTGTTTTTTTTTTGACACATAGTCAGACCTAAAAATGAACGCGCTTATCTGTGACACTCACACGCAGCAGCCTCTGAATGCACAAATGTAGAGAGGTATTTCAAAAAGATACTTTTCAGTAAAATACCAATATGTAAATATATATAATTCTACCACGGCGCTGTTGCTTTTAGGTCCTGTCACATCCAGTACTTGACGTGCCAAACAGCAGTACTAGATTTGGATCAATAGTAATGTAATATGAAGTGGTTACACCTGACAGTGTTGTAGTACTTCAGACCAGACATTGTGACTCGAGTTCCTCTCCATCGTCTCAGACTTGGATTCAAAACCGTGCAGACATGACTCAAGCGTGACTCCAATCTGTGTTACGTGACCTGGTGTCAAACATAAAACCCTGGGGAAAACTCGAGTGACTTGATTAGGGCTCAACCTAACTCTTCTTTTCTGACTCCAAACTCTGAAGGTTCAGGTCTGGTTGACCTTAGACTTTCATTTGAAGACTTGGACTCTGTTGACTGGAGTGAAAGTTTTATTTAAAACCTCCGGGACTTGCGTCAGATTTGACTGATAATTCCTCTCTATAACTCATCCTCTATGTTCTTAACTCTAGTGACTCCATTTTTTTTTTGTCTACTTTTTCTCTGACTTTATTGACTTCAACCTCTTCTTTAGCGACTTGGACTTGAACACACAGAACTCAAATGCAACACTGACAGATGTCTTAAGTCACAAACTCGTCTTTTGTGACATGGTTTCGATCATTTTTATTGTATATGTTATCAAAAGCATCTGTGCTTATATGAATTTGAAGATGAGGCCAAACATCAGAACGTTGTGAGCTCGTTTATCAAACGCAGCGTCGGCCTGGACTGAGAGAACAGATGACGGGCTGTTGGCTTTTCTTTTCTTGGGTTCAAGATCTGCTTTCAAAAGCTGCAGTTTGTCTGCAGTGTGTATGTGTGTGTGTGTGTGTGTGTGTGTGTGTTTGTTGGTCTCTGTGCATGCCCTGTGGCAGTGTCCGGGGCTTTGCATGAAATTTCATCACACCCTCTGCATACACACGCTCAAACACACACTCACACCAGCTGTTTCGCATATCGCGGCGATGCTCCCAGTGTCCGTTCAAAGCTATCGTTTTGCCAATAAGTGATCAAAGCTATTGAATGGAAGCGGTGGCGGATGGGGATCTGTGGTGGGGCCTCTTTAAATCTGTTCTTTCCTCTCCAGACACGGTCAGCGTAGCTGCTGCTCCTGGAACATTAGTGACCACAGAGCGCGGGCTGTAGCAGACCTCTGTGGTTGGCCGTGTCAGGACTGGTTGGATCACAGGCTCTTGTGAGGCTGTGGTGATGATGATGACGATGATGATGATGATGATGATGATGGTGATAGCTGAGCCACAGGATGTCTGTCCAAGTGTGATGGGGGACGAGTTATTAATTTGACACTTATGTGACACTTAATTCATCACGAGCGATAGTTTAGCTTTTTCTCTCTTGGCAATTTGTTGTGATGGATGCTGCGGTTCTTGCATCAAGGATATAAAAAACGGTTCCGATACAGGCTGAAACATATTAATTAAAAAAATGGTACATGAAAGAACGTAAGCGTTCATACTGTGTTTATAGCAGCCCCTGCAGGTCAGGGACGGGCAGCTCCGTCTTCTGTGTCTGTTAACAAAACTCCTCCCTGAATTTTCTGCATTAAAAAAGAAAAGAGAGAAACTGCCCAGGGTAAATGCCGCTCTCTGCCATGGAAGCAATGATATCAGTAGAAAAACACTGAACGCAGGACGGAATACAAAACATGAGAAGGGTTTTCTGCAATCTGCTCTTGTAATTGCAAACAGCATGGGAGATAAAGACTGCAGGAATAACAGCAGGAGGAGGGGAACGGGGAGGAAGGGAGAGAGGAAGGGAGGGAGGGTGAGAGAAAGAAATGCACTGCCTATTGATTATCTTACACACATAAGTACAAGTGACCTGTAATCCACAGAGCACTTATCGACTCCTCTCTCCACCGTATCCAGTAACAGCCGATCAATACGGGCCAAAGACAGTTACGGGACAGCACCGCGCACTGGGCCAAGATAGACCTGGACTAGATCAGGGGCCAGATCAGAGCCCTGACCTGACAATAAAGGCCCCTAAATCCTGGATGGGGCGGTTCAAAAATGAGCGATGAAGAGGGAATAGAATGGGAGATATTAAAGGGCTGGAAATGAAGAGGTGTACTGAAGAATAGAGGTGAAGGAATAAAAGAGGTGAAAGAGCAGAGGGAGGGGGGGGGGGGCAGTGAGGGAGAGCAAAGATGGAAGGATGAGGGAGAGGGCAGCTTATTTAATGGTCTAATGAGACCGTCCTCCAGCCAGTTGTTTTGTGTGAGGCATGCTCTGACCTTTCGCTCCGCTCGGGAGCTCTGCCGCCTCATTTTTCACATTCTTGCAATTACGTTAACGCTTGAAGCGCTCGCTGACTCCCGGCTCCGGCCCTTCCATTCTGTCAGAGCGGCGTCTCCAAATCTGCACCTTTTCCTTCCTCGACTCCACTCCGCGTACGAACTTGCCTCCTATCGCAATACGTTTTCCACATAAAATTTGTAGTCCACACTCTGCGGTCTGCAGAGTAAAATTTGAAATGTGTGCTTCACTTCAGTAATGGGGTCTTTAACAGCTTGGCCCCTGTTAAAAGGGGTGACGATGTGGATCAGTTGAGGACGACAGAATGGATGGGCGTGAGACAGAGAAGTAGAGAGAGAGAGAAAAGAGTTTCTTTGCTTTTGGCTGCCAAGAAAAACATCAACTCTGGTCTGGTCTGTTTTTCCGTCCTGAAAGGTGGGCTGTACGCGTGCGGCAGCTTGAAAAACATTTACCTCTGACATCGATCCAGGAGCATCACTGTGGTGAAAATGTGACTTCAGTCCATTTGATCCCAGCAGCTGGGTTTTTATGACAGTGGCCAAGTCTGAGTGTATAAACTTTAACAGGTTTCCTCAGCCTGTAGATTAGAGATTAGGGGCAAATTATATACATTTCATCGCTAAAAACAGGGCTAACAGCTGACGGCTAAAGTTTTCTACATTTCATCGCTAAAAACAGGGCTAAGAGCTGACGGCTAAAGTTTTCTCTATATATCTGTAAATTTCTTAAAATTCTTCAATTGTACTATTTTATATCATTAACATGTTGTTTATAGGCCGTTTGCAGAAGATTTTTTTCATCTTCATCCTTTATGCTGTAGCTGACAAATTATTTAACCTCTAATTATATTTCTTTGTATTTTGTTTTGCCTTTTAAAAGATCATTTTAACCTTGTCATTTGGGTTAACACCTGTGGTATTTCTTTGTATTTTGTTTTGCCTTTTGAAAGATCATTTTAACCCTGTCATTTGTGTTAACATCTATGGTTTATTTATTTTTTTATGATTATTATTTTCCCCTTGTTTCCTCATGACCCACAAATCACCCCTTTGTGACCCCCTTTTTTTTCCAAAACTTTCACTCCTCTCCGTGTTTGTTTCTTTCCTCATTATTTCTTACCAAAAAATTACATAACACAAATGTGAATTTGTTTAAAATTCTCTTCTCTCTCACAACACCGTGACTCCCGGTGTTCCGGGCAGATAGACAACTATGAGTGAGAGCTGGGGCAGTTGGTGCAACACGCAATAACTTCGCTGGCTGGCTCCGAACATCAGTTTGATTAACAGTCGTCTGGAGCGCCTCCAAGCTTATCTGAAAACATCAGAAACATCAGTTGCAGGGAGTTAAACTTGATGAATGTGCATGTCTTAAGATAGCACTGGCTTCCAAGCAGGTGTCCATAATATGTTAAACACCTAAAGTGTGATGGAGAAATACAGCACACTAAACACTGTGTAGAGTCAAATGCACTCAGTCATGAAATATAAATCCCAGACACTGATTCAGCATGGTAGGTAATGCTTTCTCGCGCGCGTGTGTGTGTGTGTGTGCGTGCATGGAATGCTTCAGCTCCAGTCCACTTTTGTAATTATTAGCTATGCATGAAGGCCAAATATGCATTGACATTTTGAACGGGGCTTTTTCTCAGCAATTGCCCGATTCTACCAGAGATGGAAAAAGGCTCAAGAGTGGAGAAGAGAGGGGAGCGCTGTTTGAGCTTTTTCTCAGCAATTGAACAATCCCCGCGATCATCAGACTCCCCAGAGAGAGAGAGAGAACATGGGGGAGAGAGAGAGAGAAAGAGGAAGAGAGGTTGAGTGTTCGGCTCCCAGGGAGTTTTCTGCGCTTGATGGAGTTGTGGTACATTTGAGTGTGTGTGTGTGTGTGCGTGTGTGTGTGTGTGAATGCGGAGGGAGTGTGGTGAGCTCTCTTGGCCCTGACTGGGCGACCCACTCAAACTGATGTTTGCGGTTAAGCTCACTGGATAGTTGGAGGTAGTAGGGCACGGGGAGGGAGGGGGCAGAGGGGTCGTTCCTGTTGGGGGCACAGTTCTCCAAGTCCATGCTCTCTCCATGTAGGGGTTTGTCCGCTTCTATGGTTAGTCACTTTGCTTTTACTTTTTGTAAATTGTTAAAAATTAGAAGACAGATGAAGTAAATCATCAGAAATATCTAAGCTCCAGGGGACAGTGTTCGGGGGGAGAGGCAGGATCAGCTCGCATGAGGAAGCTAACTATTTGAAGCGCTGTACCTCCAAATACATTTGTTAGCGTGATTTTTAGTACGGATTTTACAGGGAGAATATTGTTGCAAGTATTGTGGTTTGAGCACAAAAAAAACAGCAACACAGTTTT